AATGGCAACAGCTCACATCAACTACAACAATGTCATAAACGTACCATTTATAAACTGTAAGTGTCATTAACTCACATAAACTACAACAATGTTATATACGTACCGTTTATAAACTCTAAGAATGTCAACAGCTCACATCAACTACAACAATGTCATAAACGTACCATTTATAAACTGTAAGTGTCATTAACTCAAATAAACTACAACAATGTTATATACGTACCGTTTATAAACTCTAAGAATGTCAACAGCTCACATCAACTACAACAATGTCATAAACGTACCATTTATAAACTGTAAGTGTCATTAACTCACATCAACTACAACAATGTTATAAACGTACCATTTATAAACTATAAGAATGTCAAGTTATATACGTACCGTTTATAAACTCTAAGAGTGTCATCAACTCACATAAACTACAACAATGTTACAAACGTACCATTTATAAACTATAAGAATGGCAACAGCTCACATCAACTACAACAATGTCATAAACGTACCATTTATAAACTGTAAGTGTCATTAACTCACATAAACTACAACAATGTTATATACGTACCGTTTATAAACTCTAAGAATGTCAACAACTCACATTTATAAACTATAAAAATTTCATAGACTACCTTGCGTTTATAAACTAGAACATGTTCTAGATTCACTATTATAATTTATATCTAAGTCATAAACTTATCATATATAAAAATACAACAGTTTCCTTAGGCTACTATTTATATACTCAACTGGACATTGTTTCTAACCATTATTTCTCTTGTACTAACAAAAAAAGTTTGTTACATTAGAGACTGATTGACTGCATGGGCCTGACATGGCTGGACTCATAAACTGAGACCCGCTGGTTCGAATCCTTGTCGTCGAACATACTCGCCCTTTCAGCCGTGAGAGCGTTATAACATTACAGTCAATCCTACTTTTCGTTGGTAAAAGAGTAGCCCAAGAATTGGCGGCGGACGGTGTTGACTAGCTGCTTTCCTTCTAGTTTATTACTGTTAAATTAGGGACGGCTAGCACAGATAGTTCTCGTTTAGTTGTGCGTGAAATTCAAATCACACCAAACAGACAGCATAAATTTCGAACATACAACATTTCATTACGTATAAAATGAGGCCGCTTTGTGGCCGTGTTAGAAATATATATATATCTTTAAATATACGCTGTATAAATTAGAATCAAAAGGCAGACAAAATTAACAGTAAGCAGTTCATCTCAAGTAACGGGTGTTAACAGCAGACAATGTTAAACCATCTATACCAAACATAATAATTACATAGTAAGTTTGTTACATATGAAGGCATTTGAAAATCATCATGAAATGTACTTTACCCATGAAGTAGCTAAGAAAGAAGTAAAAGCAAAAATGTATTCTAAATCATATGTATATATATATTCTTTTATTGGAAGCAATTAATCTAACCGGACATTTAAAAATAAATTATTCTGGTCAACTAAATATCATATCCTAATGTAAAACATTAATTCTCATTCTGACGTAGCAACTTCCATTAATGATACAATCTTTCGTTAATCTGAGCAAATATACTTCAGCAGAAAACATTCTTCCGCCAGAATACATACAAGTATGTAATTTACACTTCACTAGAAGCTAGTATTCCACTACTGTACACACGAGGACCTAAGTTCTATTCTACTGATATTTAGCAGCTAGTATTCCACTAGCATACACACGAAGACTTAAGTTCTATTCTACTGAGATTTGACAGCTAGTAGTCCACTACTGTACACACGAAGACTTAAGTTCTATTCTACTGAAATTTAGCAGCTAGTCTTCCACTAGCATATACACGAAGACTTAAGTTCTGTTCTACTGAGATTTGACAGCTAGTCTTCCACTAGCATACACACGAAGACTTAAGTTATTCTCCATTGAGAGTTAGCAGCTAGTGTTCCACTAGTGTACACACGTGGACTTAAGTTGTACTCCATAGAGAGTTAGCAGCAGTCTACCACTAGTGTACAGACGTGAACTTAAGTTCTACTCCATAGAGAGTTAGCAGCTAGTCTTCCAGTAGTGTACAGACGTGAACTTAAGTTATTCTCCATTGAGAGTTAGCAGCTAGTGTTCCACTAGTGTACACACGTGGACTTAAGTTATTCTCCATTGAGAGTTAGCAGCTAGGTCTTCCACTAGTGTACACACGAGGACTTAAGTTCTTCTCCATTGAGAGTTAGCAGCTAGTCTTCAGTAGTGTACAGACGTGGACTTAAGTTCTACTCCATAGAAAGTTAGCAGCTTGTCTTCCACTAGTGTACAGACGTGAACTTAAGTTCTACTCCACAGAGAGTTAGCAGCTAGTCTTCCAGTAGTGTACACACGAGGACTTAAGTTCTAATCTACTAAGACTTTGTCTCTTGCACAGTGCACACATAAGATGTTGTCGCGAAAGAACACAGTAGATAAATATTATCAAAAGGTTATAGTTAATCTATAACTGAAATTTGATTCAGAAATTACTTGGATTCGGGTATAACATACTCCGTTGTTCAATAATGAGAATCAAGCAGGATACATAAATAAAAACATAGATAAACAAACAAAAAAAAACTCAAACTTATACATGATACTTCAAAGCAATCTAAGCTATTTACATCATAAATCCTTAACGTGCATATTGCAAACTAAAATAAGATACCTGTGCAGAAAACAGAAATTGTAATACAGAACATTTCTATACAGAAGTCTTTCATGTGTTTGTTCTAGTGAAACACTATATCGCACTAGTGTGTACTTACGTTTAATAACAGTTACAACTATATCAATCTCTTCAATGTGATCGATCAGAAACAATTTACTACTTTAAAATGAGGATTTGTGTTTTGGAAGAATGGTCTGCATTAAAAATATCCTGAAAAACTATGGTTTATATGAAATATAAACATTCGATTCTGGTTTAGGTTTAATGTAATGCTACATAAATCTGAAGCGGAACTACCGGAGGACGTTTCTAAGAGATGTAAAATATGAGAAAAATTAAAATCTGTTTCTAATAAATGCAAACTATATTACATAACAATTATTTCTAAAAAATATGAGCTACGCTAAAAGTAACTCAAACCTGCCTCTAGAAAGTGTAAACCTCTTTATACGAAACATTTGTTTCCAAAAACGCTAAAAATGAAAATGCATTTCTAGAAAGTGTAAACAACTTTATACGGAACATTTGTCTCCAAAAACGTTAAAAATGAAAAATGCATTTCTACAAATTCTAAACTACGTTTCATAACGTTTGTATTAAAAACGAGGACTATATAAAATGAAAATTTGTCTCTGAGAAATGTGAATTGTTTTACAGGTCATAATATTTGTCGTCAGATGCTGTGAAATACATTAATAAACATATCTTCAACACATGAACAAAGTAGCAAATGAACAGAATGGCTGAAAATCTGTTTCTATATCACTTTCAGTTCGTACAAATTTCACAGAAAATGCCTATTTATCAGTGACGTTTGAAAGAAAGAAAATGGATTTGAAACGTAACTATTAGATTAAGATATGTCTTAATTAAAATACTGGCAGAAAATAATTCGACAAAAACTTCCGGAATCAAATCTTCAACAGCTTAGGCATTAAACAACAAACAAACGTTAAACAGAACATCTGTTTGCAGGAGCTATGAGCAACATTACAATGCGTATGCAAGCCAAAAGATTTAAATTATTTCCCAGGAACTTTGGTTGAAGATAGCTGAACAAGTCACTATAAATCTGTTTGTGGAAATATTATGAATTACATCACAATATATTTGTTTCCAAAACGTCTTAAATACCTAGTACAGTACTCGTTCTGGTAATGTATAAACTGTAATGTAAGATAATTCAAACTTCTTGTTTAAAAAACAATAGAATAGTAAGTTTATGGAATGATACAAGCGATATTAACTTTTCTTGGCCTATCATATATATATATAGAGAGAAGATAAAATATTATTGTTAGATATATGTTCACACGAAGAATAAATTCAAATGTAAATTCACAAACTTTTACATTTATTATTATGGCTAAAATCACGGACCATAAATAATACCTTTCAAAGAATAATAGTATTATTTATTATTTGGATGTATACATTTCTTCTGTTTTGTCTGTTCACAGAATAAGTTACAGTTCACATAAAAATAAGTCCGTGATAAACAGCTAAAATTCGATATAGTGAAAACGGCTGTGAGACTTAATCTAGCTTTCCACTCATAAGTTTCCAGCAGCTAAGAAAACAAACAAACAACAACTTATATTTACTGAGGTTATGTTTTAGAAATAGGGATTCTGTATTAATGATGGACTCCTCTCCTGAGCTTATAGATTATACCTTCTACAGCCTTCCTGAGAATTACCAGTAAATGTACAAAAATCGATGTAACATTAACAAATTAAATGTTTAGAAACAAAGTTAACAGAGAACACAGAATCCCTGCAAAACCGAATACTCCTAAACCATTACACGTGGTTTTGTTATCCTAAACACCTAGTCGCACAAACGACTAACACGAGTAGAAATTTACACACAAACGGAATTATATTTTATGCTGTCTTTATACACACCTAATTATTTGTGAATAAATGATCGGTATAAGCACTATCATCCTTCAGAAGCAATTACCTTTGAACTGGTTATATCAGTTATGACATCCTACGTAAATAACTCTACTCGTATATAGTGACATCAAAACAGTACAGTTTTATACCTGTTATTCCCACGAGTGAAACTATTTCTTTCAAAGCTGATTCTTCTTAGGAATGAAGTTGTTTTCCCAATAAGCATTGATACTTTCCAGAAATGAAGTCGTTACTTCCAGTCCTGGTCCTTTCTGGAAGAAGAAGAAGAATAGTTCATTTTAAGCTTGTGTTTTTTTTATGTTTATTTTGTTTGTTTCAGAATTTTCGTGTAAAGCAATACAAAGGACAGTCTGCGCTAGACGACCCTAATTTTGAACTGATAGCCTAGAAGGGTTAGTTACTTGTTTTAGTGCAAAGCTACTCAACAGGCTATTTGCACTCTGTCCACCAAGAGGAATCTAACCTCGGATTTTAGCACTGTAAAAACTACAAGGAGGGCAGCTAGCCAACAGTACCCACCCACAGTCCTTGTGCCACTCTCTTCTTGTCGAATCGTTGAATTTGAAAGTTCACTCTTAATAGTCACTCAGACCCCAAAGTGCAGAGTGGTATTTTTTGGCAATGAGCTGCGAATAACGAATCCTCGGATTCACAATTAGAGCATGCTAGGTACTAGGCCACCCTCGGCCCTTATCATTTATAATTGTTTTCTTTTTTTCTTTTGGCAAACTTGCTATTTCTCAGGAATGAATGGTTCATTCCAGTCCAAGTTACTTCCAAAAGTAGAGCTGTTTCAGGAACGAATTTCATTTTACAAAACTATCATTTCCGACGAATAAAGTTGTTTCTTCCAATTCTAGTTTCTCCGTGAAGTACGACTGTTTCTTGATATTCTGGTTCTTTCTGAGAGCCTTTGTTTTAATAATCCTTCATGTTTTCTTTCCATGAATTTCGCTATCTTCGTTTTCAAGACCGTTGTTTTTCAGGAATAACGCTGTATTAGTTTTCAAGTCCTTTCTTTTTGTTTTTATTTTATGGAAGGACGCTGTCTTCGTTTTCGAATCCTGGTTATCATCAGGAATAAAGCTTTGTGTGTGATTTTACCTCCTTGATCTTTCCAGGAATGATGTTCTTTCTCCTGTTCTTGGTTGCTTTCTGAACCCGTTGCTTGTCAAATGATACTTGATCACAGTTTCCGCCCGACAGCCTAGGGCACGTGACCCATGGACATCTCAAGTATGTACTTGCGTAAAGATAGTATTGACACGTCGCTAATAAATTCAAAGAGTACGCATAGTTATAAAATACAAAACAAATATAATAAATTGGTTTTAGGCAAATATTGTTGTTAGTTTTAGAGCAAAGGTGCTGAAATTTGATATCTAATTTATCTTCTAGCTGTTTACTGAGGTCAGGGGTCCAGCAGAATGATGTTTAACATCACAATCAAAATACTTAAATACTGTTTTTGTTAGATTTTTTTAAAACAAGGATTGCTGCTAAAGTATGCAAAAACAAATTTGTATGTTGAAGAAAATCAAAAAGGCAAACATAAAAACACGTTTAGAATGTTATTCAAAGATTTTTTTTCATTCAGTATTTATTTATTTGCACATTCGTCCGAAACTCGAAACACTATATAAGCTATCTTTAATACACAAACACACATTGACAGGCTTCACGATAGCTAAAACTTTACGGTTTCTCTGAGTATAGCCTTATGATAACTTACTTCGTTATTTATCCTCTTGATCACGCTAGAATAGATTTGTTCTCTGGGTGACTATTTCATCAAGTTTGTGTTTTAGTGTTCATTTTCCCCATATTCTTATCTATGTTTCTTTCTACATTTCATATGAAGTGTTTAGTCGTTTATAGTTAATGTAAATATTACTAAATTGTCAGACAATACGACTAAACACCTCGTAGGTAATGTATATATGCTTGCATTGTTAGAAGATGCGACTAAACACCTTGTAGTTAATGTAAATATTCCTAAATTGTCAGACAATACGACTAAACACCTCGTAGGTTATGTATATATATTCTTGCATTGTTTGAAGATGGTGTTTAGTCGCATCTTCTAACAATGCAAGCATATATACATTACCTACGAGGTGTTTAGTCGTATTGTCTGACAATTTAGGAATATTTACATTAACTACAAGGTGTTTAGTCGCATCTTCTAACAATGCAAAAATATGTACATTACCTACGAGGTATTTAGTCGTATTGTCTGACAATTTAGGAATATTTACATTAACTACAAGGTGTTTAGTCGCATCCTCTAACATTACCTACGAGGTGTTTAGTCGTATTGTCTGACAATTTAGGAATATATATACATTTCCTACAAGGTTCTAGGTGATATCGACGAATCATAGCAACGTTTTTCATGGAATGCGTGGTTGATTTTCCTGAGAACAGCATTCTGTCCTCAAACAGCGATCATTTAAACTCATATGCCGAACGGGAGGGGCTCATGGGATGGCCTTATCCTTCGTGGATTAATACTTTTAGTTTCATGAATAAACTATTGTATCATACTAATTAAATATTACTGAATGGTTATTTGCTGTAAGATAAATTTACACCCCAATAATGTTTGTACACAATCAAATTTACGTGTGTTTCTCACTCCCTTTTATGTTAGTAAGTTTCTTAAAATATTACTTTTGTATTTAAGAAACAGGTGAAGATTTGCAACGTAATTTACAACAACGCTTGAAGCTTAATACACTCATGCGGGTTTTAGCTGTCAAATGAACGTTAGTTAGACTTGTAACTTTTTTTTCAGTTGAATAAAATTAATTAATTTTTGCTAATCAAGAACCTAATTCTTCTGTCATAGAAAATGAATTGTACAAAGTAATTCAGTATAGCTGAAACTGCAAACTTCAGAGCAGAGCTGTTAGGATTAACTTTTATAATTAAGTTGCAGCAGTAGCAGTGAAGATCACAGAAATCTAACAAAATACACATAATAAATTCGAAAGTCAAAATTTATTTCTCTTTTACAGCTGGTTCAGAAACACGAATAATAAATCAGCCACAGTTTGATAATATGTATCATAATTAATGATCAACCAAAAATATATGAAAAAAAAGGATTATGTGAACATGAAGATGATTTTACATTTTTTAGCGGAAGTTCCTGCTTAGTGCATGTATTATTTTTTCTCGAGCGCGTGACTTGCTAACATTTCCGTCTATGACTTTACCATACCCTAAAGAAACGTTAATGTCAGCTAAACCTAAATTTCAGTGTGTGCATTCTAAGCAGGGTTTACTGTAAAGACATGACCACGTGACACGCTAAGTATGAAAATAAAGAAATTTCATCTCTCATAATCTCCCAATCTGGAAAAGAATTTCCAAATCCTTTTCCTTCTTAATCCTTTTCTTTTTTTGTATTCTCGTCTACCAGTTACACTCTTATTTCTACTTCGTTCTTCTTCTGTTATCAATTTCACAACAGTATCAAACAAGTATAATTACAGGATATATGAAACAAATCCAGAAATTGTTAAACTGCTGTGTGTGTGTTTTCTTGTAGCAAAGACACATCGAGCTATCTGCTGTGTCCAATGAGTGGAATTGAACTCCTGATTTTAGCATCGTAAGTCCGAAGACTTACCGCTGTCCCACCGGGGAACAAACTGTCGTGTGAGTGAAAGTATTTGACCCTAATGAAGGACGTTTGTTCGAAACGTTGATGACATTTTTTTCACTCCCCAGAAAGGATATTAGACCGAAACGTCACAAAATATAGAACATCGAGTAAGTTTCATTGAAAATGATAGAAATGAATATATTTATTGGGATTCAAAAATACTCATTTATTACCCAAAATATCCTGAGCACTGATGACTTCCGAACGTCAAGGTAGACCTACCTTAAAGTATGATAGATAGTTGTTTTCAGGTAACGTTTTCATTTAGATTTATGTGATGTAATTTTGACTGTTACATCTGACACATAAAATCATTAATGTCAATACATGTTAAGTTTCAGTCTGGACGCTAATATTTCACGTCGCAATCGTTAATCGTGAAAAATACAGAGGGTTCTACATTTTTCTTGGATGTGACCTAGTTCTTTATTTAAATTTATTTCATTTTATGTTTGTTTTTAATATTTTCTTTAATACCTATTGACTTCGTTGAGTTTTCTTTTTACGCACTATTTTGAAAATTTATATATTACAAAACTGTCTCTTACTCATAAAAATATTAATTTCACACTTCCAAATTTCTATGTTACTTTTTAAAGTAAAACTAAAGTTTACATACGGTTGAGTACGTTATATTAAAACGATTTTGATTATTCAAAATAGCACATGTGACAACCAAAGCCAATATAAAGTCGCGATGGAACAACATGTATCAGAATTACATTTTGACGTTGTCACTAAAATAAAGCTTCCAGTCATACCTCCCGTCCATCTGTCAAGCAGCTGGCGAATAAAACAGATGTTCATGCTATTCTATATGAAGATATACCGGAGAAGTCATCGTACGCAGCGCCTATGCATTTCTTTGTAATCGGACACTTCAAACAAGCGCTGGGAAACCATCGTTATCGTACACTAGTTTGATTATGGAAAGGTAACAGAGATGAGTTATATGCTTTGGATATGCCATAATTACGATTGATCCTTTTGAAAGGGAAATTACGCTGTAGGGATATTGTTAAAGTTACACGGACGTAATGACATGGATTGTAACGGCGTGGTGAGGTTAAAAATGGTTTTAATATAACGTATATACTCAACCTTCTGTAGTTGTTTCTACATGCTTTGCAGTTAAAATACTTCGAGTCTGTGTATCCGATGGTGGATTTTAGCGAGTGAGTGTTAATTATGAAGCTCAGATTAAACTTTACACAATCATCATATGTAGTTACAACTTAATGTTACTGAGACTATATTTTCCTAAAAGTCATCAGTCAAAAGACACCAAACCTTAACTATATCATCTTAAGAAACATTAGGTATATCCATTCTAAGAATCACCAATATGAGACTCTAACGATTAGGTATAGCCGTTCTGAGAATCATAAGTGATTTCAAACAATGTAAATAATCAGAAACAGACTCCAAACATTAAGTATATCCGTTCTGGGAATCATAAGTGACTTCAAACATTAGGAATCACAAGTAACAGACTTGAAACATTAAATATATCCGTTTGAGAATCATAATTGACTTTCAACAATATAAATAATCACAAACAGACTCCAAACATTAGTTATAGCCGTTCTGGGAATCATAAGTAACAGACTTAGAACATTAGTTATATATCCGTTCTGAGATTCATTAGTACGTGACTTCAAACATTAGGTATAATTCGTTCTGAAAATCACCAGAAGAGATTCCAAACATTAGGTACAGCGGTTATGAGAGTCATAAATATGTGACTTCAAACATTAGGAATCATAAATAACAGACTTCAAACACTAGGTATAAGTCGTTCTAAAAATCATCAGCAGAGACTCCAAACATTAGGTATAGCCGTTATGAAAATCATAAGTGACTACAAACAATATAAATAATCAGAAACAGACTTCAAACATTAGGTATAGCCGTTATGAGAATCATAAGTGACTTTAAACAATATAAATAATCAGAAACAGACTTCAAACATTAGGTATAGCCGTTATGAGAATCATAAGTGACTTCAAACAATATAAATAATCAGAAACAGACTCCAAAGATTAAGTACATCCGTTCTGGGAATCATAAGTAAGTGACTTTAAACACTAGGTATAAGTCGTTCTAAAAATTATCAGCAGAGACTACAAACATTAGGTATAGCCGTTCTGGGAATCATAAGTAGGTGACTTCAAACATTAGGTATAATTCTTTCTAAAAATCATCAGAAGAGACTCCAAACATTAGGTATAGCCGTCATGGGAATCATCAGTAAGAGACTTTAAACACTAGGTATAAGTCGTTTTCAAAATCATCAGAAAAGATTCCAAACATTAGGTATAGCCGTTATGAGAATCATAAGTGACCTAAAACAATATAATTAATCAGAAACAGACTCCAAACATTAGATATAGCCGTTCTGAGAATCATAAGTGACCTCAAACAATATAATTAATCAGAAACAGACTCCAAACATTAGGTATAGCCGTTCTGAGAATCATAAGTGACTTCAAACATTAGGAATCATAAGTAGCAGATTTGAAACATTAGGAATCATAAGTAACAGACTTGAAACTTAAGGTATAGCCGTTATGAGAATCATCAGTAATAGACTTCAAGCATTAGGTATATGTCGTTCCGAAAATCATCAGAAGAGAATCCAAACATTAGTTTATATACATTCTGTAAACTATCAGCTAAAGTTTTTAAGTGTTAATTCATCAGTAAGACTGTGTTATTTTTTCGGTTATCGGCAAAATCGTATACTCGATGTCATCAATCGATAAAAACAATCTGGGATACATTATCAAAATCTGTGCTTTTAATAGGTTTAATTGTGTGAATTTAATGTTCCTGGAGTGACGAATAACAACTATTTATTCTTAGAACATATCAAATAATTATAACTTTGATAATACTGATCGCATGGTCGATAAGTGAAATCTACAGTTCTTGTATAATTTTAAACAAGAAAATAAAATAAATACATTTTCTAATTCAGAATAAATACAATTCTTTAACCTTTACATTCGTATCTTCTCGTGTTTTGTTTGTTCGAAAAACACGGAACACTAACTATTTTTAATGATTGTTCACATCTTACATTGCCTTGTGGATCAGGATTTGTCGTTTTTTACTGAAAGTTTTATCCGGTGAAGTTGCGTCTATGGTAAAAAAAAAAACTCATTATAAAAATACACATGCATGAGAATCTAACATTGCACGTTAGGATGAGACTATATGTTTTGTTGCCGACTCACGCTGACCGTGGCAATACCTTTGAAAAAGTGAACGAAGGCTAATTCAACTCATTCGCAAGAAATTTGGAGGGAAATAAGCACCGTATTATCGCAAAATCTAACTGTTAATGTTGTTAAACACAACCATTCTCTGGAATATATTAAAAAAACATCCTATTATCATCTCACATTACAAAATTTCTACGGTTTACACTCGATGAAATTTATTGAAGCTATATATATAAATATCTACCTTTCACAAAATGTTTTATGACACATCTTTGACTGTAGTTTTGCAAAGGAATTTTTGTAAGATGCACTTTCGATTGTGCTTTTTTAAACATCTTTGTTACATTTTCACACACACACACACACACACAAGAACACAAAGATACCTATGTATGTATATATATATATATATAAACCTATCTCTTACACTAGTTTTACAATCCACTGTTAAGAATTAGCAAAATAATAATATTTTCAGTACCTTCGAAAATTCAAAGTTAACTTTTCTATCTTTATCTTGATGAGGAGACAGTCTATAAGGACTACAAAAGTTTGTTGAAACTTGGATCTTTTTTTCATAGGTTATATAGTTCTCTATGAACTGTTTGGTAGCTCTTTCGGAACCTCAGTGTTGAGAGAAGTAGTAAAAGGACTTCCGAAGAAACGTCGTCTTCTATACTAAATGTTTTTAGAGCTATAGATCACTTGAAAGGGATCCAAGTTTTCAATGGAGTGTTCAGTCTACATACATTAACACATCAAGAACATACAGCCTAGATAACCAGCGTGTACCTTGTTATATCTTTAGATAAGGAAGCTGTGTTTGCTAGGCGAATAAAACGTGATAAATCAATAACATAATTAAATATCTACAATAAATTTAAAATAAGTAATCAGCTGTTGCTTAAACCATTGTACGTTTGTCTGTGGTTAAAGTGCACTTTATACTGGCTCTCATAATGACTAAAACTAAAAGGTTATGCTCCTAGAAATGTATTTAATCCAAATTCATATGTACAATAGCTCAGTGTTTAATTCTCTGAAAAGTATTTATAAGGTTTACTAAGTGGCGTATGAACAAATCACCCGTTTCCGCTTTGTAAATGTCTCCGAAATAATATATAAAGATGTTAGAATCGTGGAATAATCTTTACCTTTTGATCACGAAATGGAATATGTCTGTGATTCCTCCTTTCAAAATTCTCACCATCACCATTTGCTGGAGAAGGAAGCGCTGAAACTATCAGGTTTCTTGAATTGTGATTCATCTATTTCTTTGATCCTGCGTGTTTGTTGAAATAATAGTATCTTATAAAATGTAATGAATGAAAATATTTTGTAACAATCTGTTCTTGCTAAATTGAATGTCTAGGATAAAAAAAATCATTCACATGACATTGATTTAATGTAATACAAAAGGGAGACTTTTAAAAATGAATTAAAAATTATTTCACCGAGAGATCACATATTATGTATACCTTAGAAAATTAGAAGTCCAATCATGCATGACAAACCTGAGAGCATTAGCTACATGTCAACTATAAAAAGGGACTTTGTAGAGCAAAAGAAGGACTTTTAAGAGGCCATAGATTATCAGATTGCTACTTAGAATATTTCAATATGTTTTTAGGCGTGTGACAGTTTTACGTTTCTATAATTCTACAACCACAACTTCACTAAACGAAAATTAATAGTTTGAAAATATACGGATTATTTCATTCAACCTGCAAATACTTAATTGTAAATAAAAGAACGACTAGCTTTGCAATTAAAATATACTGGCTAACATAAAACATTCTGAAACTCGGAATTTAAAATTGTTTTTTTTTAACATGGATATAAAAAAAATACTGTAAACTATGATGTCACTCTTACTGAAAGATATATAACAAGTAGCATTACGAAACTTATGAAACAATGTAGACTTTATCTGAGAATGTTTCATAACCAATTATGTAAAAGTAAATCTTCTATATTGTAGTATATTATTTTTTCAACAGTACTGAAGAAAAAAGCATTTAGTTTTATCGTACTGTAAACATAAAAGTTTCCTTTGCTACATTGATTTACATCAATTCTTGTAAACGTTAAATAACATATATCTCTATATATTATGTTCTTTGATAGCAAATGATACGATTTAAGAAAAACAAACAAAACTTTGACAGTGTTCCAAAACACAAACAACAGTGCTTACTTAGAAGTAAAATTTATCAGTTTTACTTTATATTCGAAAACTTGTAGTAAGAGTATTGTTGTGGCAGACACATAGTAACTGGTTTCTTCGAAGTTATATAATTTAAATGTACAACATTATTCTGGCTTCTGAGGATCAAGTGAAATGTAATTCAGTTATGGAACAAATCTCCGTGTTTATCTACATAATCCATACAATGAAATATATTTTTGCTCACTAACCTTTAGCTGTAAAATGCTTAATTGTTTGTATGACTGAAACCGTGGACAACACAAGAAAATTAATTTAAAAAACAGACATTGTTCCTGTTGTCTAAAACAATAAAGACAGACAGCTTAAGATATTATATTAAAGTAATGTTATTAGTGGATCGTCGGAGCAAGGAAGTAATTCTGTACGTATTTACTCGGTTGAATATGTCTTAACAAATCTTGTGGTTATTAGACGGTTGAATAAATGAAACTAAACTGGGGCGAATTTTCCTATGAAAATTTTGAAGGAGTATATATGTATTTTCACAAATGTCTTTATTTTTTTTATGAGATAACAAATAAGCAGTATCAACTGAGCAGAACTAATGGTAAATTATAGCTAGATTAGAAGACCAGCCATGTAGTTAGCCTAAATCTATGTGATATGTAGTAGGTGAAATTTAATAACGATACGCATACTCAAATTATATACAACTGCTTGTTTAAGCTTTGGTCTGTAGATAAGCTGTTTTGTGTGTTAATTAAACAACGTTGCTAATTCATTCAGTTATATTACCCTCAAATACTTATAAAACCAGGCAGGCTTTTGAAGTATGGTTTAAACAAAGACTAGCGAAATTTGTTATACTACACATTAAACAACAGTCAACACTACCAGAGACCAGCAGGACACACATCACGTAGGGGAAGGTGGGGAGGGGGGGACTTAAGTGTTTGCTACAGCAGCCTAACCAGCAGCAAGTGACGTCATATATACACCACGGGATTCTGGGTAGAACGAACGCTGTCGTAGCAGCTTTGCAGCGCAAACAACGATCATTTAGAAACAACCCCTGCAAGCGTGCGTTGGTAGTGATACCAGACGGCAACATAACAGACCGTGCTCGTTGCAATGGAGCTTTCTTCAGTAGGTGAACGTGTTTTTGCAGCGGAGTGCATTCAAAAGAAACGAATACGAAAGGTCAGCTATATTTTTGTACTTACCCCTAAAAAATATTGATTTTTTTTCTGAACAGAAGAATGGTGAAGTTAATAATGTTTATTTTTCTGTCTTCACAGGGTCGGGTCGAATACTTGGTGAAGTGGAAGGGATGGAGCCCAAAGTAAGTATATATGCTTCCTTTCCCAGTATAATTCTGCCAGTTTTCTCTGTTTACCCAATATTTTGAGATTGTTTTCGACATTCTCCATTAAACCTGTCTTTTTTTCAACCCAGGTACAACACTTGGGAACCAGAAGAAAACATATTAGACGTACGCCTACTCGAAGCCTTCGAAGCGAGGTGAGTAAACTAGTTCTACAAAATGGCGCGACTTGTAGGTGATGCGCCTGCGCTCGCTACGAGCGCAGTACAGCGACACCGGCATTTTATTGCGCGTGTTTATCATAGCATAAGAAATAAATATTTGTTATTTAAATAAATTCCTGACAAATCCACAATTCTAAATATCATGTCCACAGTGTTGTACTACGTGTTCTTGATTAAGGAAATTGAAGTAGTGCGTATTTTTTTACAGTAAACTAACATTATTTATTCTAAAAATCTCAAGTTTATTAACTATAACACCAGAGATCTTCAGATCATAAAGCATGATTTTTGATATTTTTATGACCATGTATACAATTGAATTAAGTGTGCTTATCAACATTCGTTATTTAGAGTTAATGTTTTAGCTCTGTTATTCCAAGGTGAATGTCGTATTTCTGCTTAACAAGCTATGTTGACATTATATAAGATGTGTTTATTTACAGTCACTGTGCGAGTATGTCTATTTATCTATTTTGCTTATTACCCTAGGCTCATTTACTATGTTTGCTTCTCAAAATAATGTTTACATTCAGTACTGTCACCCACAGTGTTTTAACTGGACTTTTTGAGGCATGCTTCCTCTGCTTTCAGTGTATATTAATAGGTTTTGTGACTACAGCAGTCCAGTTTCTACCAGGCTTAAAATAAGGTATTCCCTATACTGGTTTGACGACTGTTCATTTCTTGGTGCTCGTCTGTTCAATGTCGGGAACTGACCGCATATTTACTTTTCAGTCAGCGAGAGAGGGAAAGCAACCCAGGAAAAAGAGGTCCTAAGCCTAAGAAAGAACGAAGTTCGGTAAGTAATTTTCTTTTAATTCTTAGCTTTTGATAAAAAAATTAGATCAAATATTTATGAACTATGTCGGAAATAAAAATTTCCAACTGAAAGAGAAGTAACAATTATTGTATCTATTACGTATATCAAATGTAAGTGCACTGACTGATATTAACTCCTTTATTTTTCAGAGTGTTGGGGATGTATTGGATTCAAGAGGAGATTGGAAATCGGTCCAAAGACTATGGAATGACACAACAGAAGAGGAGGAACAAGCACCAAGAACCGAAGAGGAAGTCTTTGAGTCCACAGAACCTGCAGCTGAGACTTCAGCCCTCTCATCCAGTTTTATTGTGGGATCTGACGAAAATCCGATAACTAAAAAAGAAGGGTTTAAACGCAAAGCTGATTCGTGGAAAGACGAAGGGACATCAAGTCAGGCGACAGATGATATCAGTTCTAATGATGCTAGTGCTACAGCAACCTCTCTGCCTTCTAAAGTGTCTAAGACTGTAAATTCTACTATGAGTTACGAACTATCCACTGATGTCTCTACACCTTTCTCCTTGAACGGTAAACGACCAGTGTCCATCACATCTCAGTCCAGTGTTCAAGTTGACACAACACCGAATAAAGTTAGCAAGGCAAGTGACAATAAGAATCCTGTTGGACGTCCGTCTTCGGAAACACTTTCCGTTTTCAGCAGTACGATCACTGGAATTTCCAAAAATTCAGCGTCAACTGTTCCGGCTAATCAAATCGATTCTCTCGGATTGCACATGACAGTTAAAAGTGGTCAGCAGGCACGTGGGTCCACCAAAGTTCCGGTCAGTGGGGAAGCTGGAAACACCGCAGTTACACTGGTTAAACCTCCTTTAAAGTACGTGGAAATGAATGGGACGGATGAAGCTCAACACGATGCTGTAGGGGCTACTTCGCCCCCTGGAGCGGGAAATAACTCGGACCAGGAAAACCATAATGAGGACGGCCTAACCCCGGTTGTCGCCAATGGAACAGCTGTTCGGGGGAAAAATATTTTGACTCCCGGCTCGTTGCTTCAACCCAAGCATAACAATAACCAAGTAATCGCGCCTAATAAGCCTAATATTAAATGTGACCCCATAAGCTCAGCTCCCGAGTTTTGGCATCGTCAAAACAGCCTAGTTGACCAGATTTTCATTACTGATGTCACTGCTAATCTGGTGACAGTGACTGTACGAGAGAGCAGAACGCGACTTGGATTCTTCAGGGATCGTAGTGACGAGGAAAGGAAGAAAGCGAGCGAGAAACAAACAGAGTTTCGAGAGGAAGATTTAAAGTGATGTTATTGATGGTGTTGGCGAGTGATGTCACGGTAGAAGAAGAGACTGTGTGATTGACGGCCTATACAAATATGACAGATGAAGCTGCGGGGTAGCAAAGCAACAAGGACTGTCATGAAACTTCACATTTACCGGAGATGTTAAAAAAAATAAAGTGTGTATTTTTCAACTTATTTTTGGTACGTCATGTATTATTGGTGACGACACGATTCGTCGGTAGATCTAGATCAAGACGGATTTTTTACTTTTTTTTGTGTGAACATTTAAGTGTTGACAATAACAACTTTAAGTTATGAACCTGTAAAAGTAAAGAACGAGGCCTTCCACTTTGGATCTTTCTGCTGTTATTCAAAAATACCAGTGGGTGTATATCGTATAAGATAGTGGAATAAATCTTTATAACAGAGTGCAAAAAAGCTGTCTTCTACGCGACGACTGACTTTTATGGAAATTAGAAAGACATGCTCCTGTGTGAGAGCGTTGTTTGGAGAGAGAGGAATTATTATGGCGTTTATGTTGACAAGGGAGGTGCATCGACACGCCCTCTGTGAGACATCGGTTACTTATTCACGTGCAGACCAGCGTTATGGTTGGTGCTTTCAGAAGAGGAGCGAGCGCCTAGTTAGTAATATATGTTGATCACGTGATTTGTGAAGGCGGATCTAAGTGTGACGTCTCAGCAGTGGGATAGTGTTGGGTCACGAACCATGAGCGGTTGTTGAGGAATAGAGAAGATGGTAAACAATCAATAACGATGAGTAGGTGAGGAAGGAATATTATCGATGATTCAGGCCGTTAGGGTGTGTGTTTTGTTTTTAAGGCGGCAGGATGTCTGGAAGTGGATGTGTAGAAACATGGACATGTGCAGTTATAAATATATATAATTAATCTGTATGTACAAACTATAAATATTTTCTTTTCTTTGCTTATACGCGAATTTAAATGCTTAAGATTGCAAGGCTAAATATCAACTGACACTCTTAAAGCTGCTTTTGATGTATCTATATATATAAAAGAATCACAGTTCTTGAAGTTACCACAAATGTAATATAACGATAGAAAGAAATCTAACTGTTCTTGTTCAACGTGTTCTAAGTGCAAGTTTTGTGTAAAAGGCGAGTTTATAGTAAATATTATACAGATCTTTTTGAAAAGAAAAAAATTGAACTAAAATTGCCTTTGCTAATGAAGTTTCTCATTGTACATTAATTTCAGAACTAGAACTGTTCTCGGCTGCGGGTTTGGGAGTTGATGTATGATGAATTATGCAGTTGTCTTACGTTTCTGGTCCACTAACACTTTGTTATCATTGTATGCCAGGGTTATGTTTATGACTTGTATTGTTGGAATAATGTATTGAGTAAATAGCTCCAAATTGTTTCTTTAGTTTTATATAAGAAAAATAATTTATATGTAAAATTCAGAAATGCTTTCTGTTTTATTGTAAAATTTTGACAAAATCGGGATGAATAGCTTTTCAAATGTGAAGTTCAACTTTTCAAAATATTTTTCTTGTTTTTCTTGAAAGTTATAGAAATATTCTTATATGTTAATCTATTATCAAGCATGAATTTAGATAACTTGTTAGTTCTAAACGGAAACTAGCATATATATATATATATATATATTCTAACTTCCTTAATCAATGTACAGATGTGCATATTCTGAAACCTTACGTTCAGTGGAAGTTAACAGAAAGAAACATGAACTGGCTTTGATGAAAGTTTAGTGAATAATTAAAACAGGCCTAGAGGTTATTTTTTAGGGTGATGTATTTACTTTTTTGGTTTTAAGATTACATTATGTTGGATTCATATGTAATTAAGTGGAGTAGAAGAAGCTATTACCTCCAGGCTTTTCAATCATTTAAAATAGCGTTTCATTGGGTCTGTTAGATTGCGTGTGTGTGTTTTTGTTGCACTCTGCATGCCAATCATTCATTAAAACAAGTTATATTTCCTCCAGCATAAATAGCGGTTACTTTTACTCATAGTGATCATTTTCTGGTTGAAGAGATAGCAGTATATGAGATTATGTGCTTAATAGTTTAGACATTCCTGTTCCAAAAGTTGTGATTACACTACTGAAAAATTCATTTTACGAACATTTGTTATGATGGTGAACTGTAAAATACTCTTTCTTTGAACTCCAAGTGTTGTCAGATGCTTTTTTCACAGTCAGTGGGTGCAAAAAATATGCATTACATCTCATGCCAACTTTGAGTGGCTCAACACGTGCTTTTAAGTTCATTGAAATATGTTTGTATTCTAAATGTTTTTTATTATTTTGTCTAAACACTACAAGTTGTTGACTGACTGAATCTTACATTGAAAAAAAAGGAATATATATATATATTTATAATTTTCTTTTATTAAATTAAAAGAGTGAAAATCATTCAATTACGCTTGTGACTGAGATGTGTAGACTGTGAAAAAACAAACTGCAACAATACATCTGTATTATTATTTATACGTGAAACATAATACTGTAACAATACATCAATATTAATATTTATACGTGAAAAACAATACTGTAACAATACATCTATATTAATATTTATACGTGAAACACAATACTGTAACAATACATCAATATTAATATTTATACGTGAAAAACAATACATCAATATTAATATTTATACGTGAAAAACAATACTGTCTAATAACAGCGAAAATGTAAGCAAATGTGCTTACTCCTCTGTGGTTTTCCGTTATGTATACTCCTCTGTGGTTTTCCATTATGTGTACACCTTCTCTGTGGTTTTCCGTTATGTTTACGCCTTCTCTGGGATTTTCCGTTATGTGTACTCCATCTCTGGGGTTTTCCGTCATGTCTACTCCTTCTCTGCATTACATTATACAGGTCTAATGTTTGTAGTTGCTTCTCTGTGGTTTTCTGTTATGTGTACTCCCTTTCTGTGGTTTTCCGTTATGTGTACTCCTTTTCTGGGGTTTTCCATTATGTGTACCCTTTTTCTGTGGTTTTCCATTATGTGTACTCCTTCTCTGGGTTGTTTCTGAAGTTTCAATTTCAATGCGGAGTTTAGATTTAGCATAATGTTAAAAATAATCGATTAATAATGTCCCGAGTGGTTATTCCCCTAACTAAAAATGTTTAATAAACGTAACTGTTAGGACATTTCTGGTAGTACGATGAAGAGTATATGGTCAAACGTGATTTGTGACGGATTTTGAAAACCAACAGGAGTAGTTCATGTTTATTTCTTGATATCGTTTGGTCAATTATTATGATAGTAATATAGTACCCAAAAATAACTCTAGTATTTTTCTGGTTTTTTAAAGATTAATTGAGGTGTAGATGACTTTGCACAGAAAGTTAAAATGGTCAATATTTCCAACAGAAAAGACGATGCATATCGGTCGAAGAAATTCGTGATATTATATGCAAACCACGTGAACATGTTATTTTGATCGTTGTGAAAACAAAAATGTTTTTGACCTTTGTTGAACTTAACACTAATGTTTGGATGATAATCTCGCTCGACTGTAGCAAAAACAACAACCATACAATAAATTATCCATTGTGATCATTACGTTATGAAATGAATTATTTGTTAATGGAATTAAACTATATTAAATTAGACGTTTTTTCGAATCAAACAGTGACGATTCTTAATCTAATGAACTCTGAAAAATTTAAGTTGACGTTTGTTAAATTGGTGAAGCAGTCATATTGAACTCTTATTGTAAAACTATTAAAATACCAAATACATGTGATTGTTCATACATTAAACACGTGACTATGGCATAATGCTTGATAATAAAATGTATATGTGTCGGAACATAAATATGCTTTATGATACAAAAGGAAACGGGCGTGATCGTCGTCAACCTCACCAACAACTAATACTTGTTTCCAGCAAACAGTAAAAAAAATATCGTAAAGACAGAAAACTAAGTAAACAGTTTTTAATAACGGTGTTTACAGAATGCTGATGTATAATAAATACGCGATATGTATGCAAATGGTGATGCTAATGAGTGTTGACATGCATGCGCCCCCAGTTGCACACCCATATGTCTGCGGACTTGCAACGCTAGAATCCGGGTTTCGATACTCGTGGTGGGCAGAGCACAGATAGCCCATTGTGTAGCTTTGTGCTTTATTAGAAATATACATATATGTGTGTAGAATTATACAAGAACTTTTCTCTACGTTAAAGTACTTTTATTTGCGTGATTTCGGCCCTCTTACTGTAACCTTCATCGGGCAACAATGTACTAAGCGATAAAATCTGTTAAACTGTGGAACACTGAAAGCTAGCAAATAAAAGTATTTTAACTTAGAGAAAAGTCCGTGTATAATTGCACATATTAATTTACTTACGTTATGAGTCTTAAAAAACATGTATGTATGCATGTTGTAACTTAACTACAAAGTCCGTACCTTCATTTTGTTGTGATGGTCATCACGCTGATACTCAGAACTGGATGAAAATTAACCACCTTTATTTACTTTTTAAATACACATTCTTCAATTAAACAGTAAACACCAAACAGTAGTGTTAGGAACCATTAAATACCTGTATTCATTATATAACCTTATTTTATACAAGTTTTTACTTTAATTATTTCCTAGGTCTAAGTTGAAGTTAACGAGCTTCCCATATGTATAACATCACTTCATTTATGCAATACTGATGCATTGGTTGAAACATTCTTCACACTGCGATCTTCTCACGAGCAAACCAACTCGCTATGCGAGAAAACAAATAAATACATAAAGATCATGCAGGCAAGTAGCAACAAGTTAAATAAGTTTCAATCTGGACATACTATGGTAAAATTTACTGAAATTAATTCACTGGAGAAGAGAATTGATCTAGATCGCTCTATTAAAAAGGAAAATGTCAGCAATAGTGAGATGATAAATTTATCTTCAATGATAATTTCCAATATGATCCAAGATATGCAATGATACATTTCGAAGTATGTATTCTATGACCATATAGTGAACAGACACAAGTATGATAAAGAACAGTACTTTGGTAATGATACATAAAAATATAAATCAACATAATATTACTAGATATAGAAGTCATGAATTTTTCCACTTGTAAATAATACGAAGAAGTAAAAAAATTCTTAATGTTACTATTTATGTATCCTCGAAAATATTCCAGTTATTCACTTCATTTTAACGTAATGTACTTTATTTTTTTTAGCTAGTATCTTGGAATAAAAACTGGAAAATTAAATGAGAAATAACACAAATTTAGTTGTTGTTTTTAATATTTTATTTTGAAGCAGGAAACTTGTAATAATTTATTTCTCTTATAAAATGTTTTAATGTGTGAAATTTTTACTGATCAATCTCTTTTTGTGGGGAATATCCCCAAATTTAATTTCAATATATATATATACCTAATAAAATACTTGAAATTATTTTTATTTTCCTTATCGTAAAAATGAATGATTTTTGTACATAAATTACCACACACGGTTATGAAACGTGTTAAATGCTACATATGATACATCTTATGTGGGTAATACATTTCAAATATCAGAGAAAAACTTACACTGTTCATCATTTCACAATAAATGGTTTGTTTCCAGGAGATTAAAACTATGTTATTCAGAGATTTGCAATTAATAGAAAACTCAGGTTTTGCTGTGTGATTTAATTCGGACTATACGTAACATGGGGAGTCATCCTTGCAGTGAACGAGATGGTTGTTATTTAATAAAAAGTATCCTGAAACAACGGGTTTGATTCCTGTTGCTTAGGAACGTTCTCTCATTGAAAAAAACAACAACAACGTTGGCCAATTAAATCATTCGAAAAGATAAATAGCAGCATATGGAATAATTTTGACAAATTTAATAATTTCGTCATCGAGAATTTTCGTTGAGTAAATTAAACCTTCTCTTAACCCACCAACTAGGGAAAGATTGAAGTATTTAGCTCATGTATTCCCATCCTTTTACATCTAATCATTCGTTGTACATTCTGGTATCACTGTTATGGAAGTTATATGATATATATATACAACTTAAAGGTATATCATTGTATTCATTACAAACACTTTCCAATCGTTCCTTTATAGAGAGAAATCGTTACCAACCACTTATTTAACACTTCTCAGTTCTTTCTCAGGGACAGAAAATTGATATTAAATTCCTTGAAAAACCTTGTTTATTTGTAATTATGCACAATGGTCTATCTGTGCTCTATCCACCCCAGGTATCGAAACCCGGTTTCTAGCGTTATAAGTCCGCGGCATTCTACTGTGCCACTGGGTGGAATAGAGATAAATTCAGTCATCCATGGCTGAATAAACTATGATTCAAACGCCTGTAGACAGAAAATGAAATGGCCAGAAAAAGTTATATGGACAAATTGAGGAAAAGTTTTGCCATTTTAAAAGATCGTAGAGTTCCATTTTCTATAGACTAAACTTTGTTTTTTTTTAAGTATTTTTCTATAGTTTACCATTTGTGTACTCTATATTCAAATTAAAAAAGTATTAACAATTTTGCAAAGTACAGGAAAACAGATAAAGAAATATAAAAATTTGAAAAAGTCACAGTTTTTATTTTCGAAACGTGCTTATTACTAACACCTATATTCGTATCTATGATTTATACAGAATAGCAATATTTGGTGATTAACACTTCACACTTTCAATTAAAAAAATACGTTGAGTTAAAACCTAACACCAAGATCAAAAAGAGTTAACTGTGTTATATTGACACGTCCTTTAATACTTTATTTTTTTAATTTTCTTATATTCCAGGATTTCCGAGCTCTGCATAATAAGCATAAGTTCATGCGAGAAACTACAAAAGGAAAATATATTTTACTAAAAAAACAATTGATTTCTCTGTTTTAAACTTTTAGTAAAATAAATCATTACTCAGATGTTATGTAAATTCCGGGTGTATTCTGCCTAACACGTAACATTACTAATAACTAGAAGACTTTCCAAGATAGCGTAAATCAAATTTAGGTTTAACTAAACGATAACAAATAATGTATATTTGATATATATCGATCATATTTTTTAAACATAAAACAAAATGAAAGTTCAATGACAGAACACCTAGTGATAAATTAATATTGGAGTTCTTTGCCGTGTTTTATTATTATTATTTTCGAGTTGGTTTGTTTTAAATTTCGCGCAAAGCTACACGAGGGATATCTATGTTAGTCGTCCTTAATTTAGCAGTGATAGACTAGAGGGAAGGCTACGAGTCAACACTACCCAGCGCCAACTCTTGAGCTACTCTTTTATCAACAAATAATGGGATTGACCGTCACTTTATAACGCCTCCACGGCTGAAAGGGAGAGCATGTTTGGTGGGACGAGGATTCGAACCCGCGACCCTCAGCTTGCGAGTCGAGCGGCTTGATCACCAAGCCTATTATTTTTGAAATAATAACAAATAACCGTACATCAAGTTTGAGACACAACACTTTGTGATATCCTCTAAATCAACCATATTATTTGTAATTAGTGTTTAGTTCAATCTTTCATATTACATAAATAACTTACAGAATACATACATTAAAGTGGGATAGCACTATAATGCCAATAATTATAGAATTATTAAACGCTGAATCACTTTATATATGCGCATTTCTTTTCCGTAGATTAAAAATAGGTGTTCGTTCACACACACACGAACAAAAGGTGAAATCATTCAATATGCTAGCAAGAAATATGAAAAAAAATTTATCCCAAACTGCAGCCATTGTTCATATGTTCGCGAATATTATCATTTTATCGGGGATTAGGACAGTGCTTGCAAATAAAAAAATATATAAGGTGTTCAAAAATAGTGTTTGAGATAGATCAACCATAAGTTGAGATAGGGAATAAATAACAATGTTGATGGATTGTTTTGTTATTAAACTGCTCTGCCCACCACGGGTATCGAAACCCGGTTTCTAGCAGTATAAGTCCGCAGGCATGCCACTGGGAGGGTAATGTTGATGGACGTCACAGAGAATGAGACTTACAGCAGTACTAGCACTATTAATTACGGAGAACGTGGGAATATTGTAGCTCGTTTATTAACGACTGTTTGTCTCTGTTTACAAATTCGTTATTTCGCTGTAAAAAGTGGGAAAGAACTGTTGGTCTTTTTTCTTTCTTTCTTTTTTTAGATAATAATAGTAATTGTCATCGGAAAGTTGGCATTTTTAAACACTTTAAAATATTCCTTCACATATGTAAATCACACTGTCAGCCTACTGGACAGTACTTGTAATGTTACATGACACACAAATAGCATGATTTTCATCCACTACTTCTAACAGTCTATTCGTAATTCCTTTTCGTGCCCATTATGCTATTATTGAGATAGCGTATTTTACATTAGTGACGTCACCACACTGTGAGAAATATCTTTATTTTTTTACTAAAATGGCCAGTAGCTTCGAGTTCATCGACACGCATGTCATGTCAAGCGCTTAAAATATATGTTGCAGATTTCTATTTGGCTGACATTTTCTATGTAATTAATTTGTTTTTTCGGGTGAGGCTAAAATACCTGAAAAAAAAAGCTCTAAAATAAGGACTGTACGGTA